CCAGCACACAACTAGAAAACTCTATGTAAATTTCCTACTGAATTTTACATGAGCAATCCATCTACACCATAAGCTTTAATGCAGTAACGACCACTAATAAAGATACTAGGAACGCTGTAAAGATCAAAAGCAATTTAAACATGCCTGGAGTTTGAATGTGGCATTACATTTCATAATGCAATATTACACCAAAGTTTACCCATTGTTTCATCTGAATTTACAAAGGATACAGCTAAACAATAACTAGTTACTGTAAAAGACTACCAGTCATTTTAAGGGCAGGCAGATTCTGGCATGTTTTAAGTAGCATGCTTGACCATTTAGCCTTATCTGCATAAGGTATGAAGTGTACCTTTTTTTTTAGTGAAAGAACAGAAATTCCGTCTTGAAGAACCCCTATTCTGGTTACTTGCAGTATTCTAATGGTATATAACTTCACTGTTAAAGCCAGAACAGCTACACGCCTGGTACTACAGGGAATAAGAGCCACTTCACCAGTAGGTTTCAGAGCTATTCGCTGACAGCAGAAAAGACATTGCCTCAAGGCAAAATGTGATTTTTTTTTTTTAAGGGTAGAAAAAAAAGATTTGTCTGCACCCAAGACAAACCCCTCTGTTCTGATCTCCTACTCACCCTTCAAGCCATCTGCTCCCCTACATCTGACCTGACCTCTGCTGTTAACTTACCACCTAACTTCTATTACCTGTCCCTCTCTTTTGGTCCTCGCAGTTCTGCTTTATTCTTTTTACTCAGTTCCTTCTTGATAGTTTTATTCCTTCTGCTGCTCATTGCTTGGGTGCAACTCAGAAAAGAAAGGAGTCTCCCTACTTTCTGCTCCTTTCCCAAAGCCCTGCAGCCATGAGGAGCAACTGCAAGGAAGTCCTGCTTAGTATCTGTAGCCTGGGACAGATCACACTCAATACAAATGGGATTTTAAGAAGATGCATTTAATAAAAGCTCCAGCAGTCTCTACTGAGAACATGAAGCAAAGATTTTCAAGTGGCTGTAACTTAGCCAGAGTTTGGGTGTTTTTCTCAGAGTGTAATAAAAGCTGCATTCTACCAAGAGCTGTTTTCCTGTTGGTATCCAAGGCTTCCCTCCAAAGCAGAACAGGATGAGGATTTCTCAATGAAATTCATTAACAGCAAAAACAAACAAAAAAGTCCTTTCTACCAGCCTTGCTAAAAAAAAAAAATATCCCCCTATTTTGTCCTGAGAAACAGGGTAAGCATTTTATCTGAAGATCTACAAACAACTCAGCCACTCTTCAGCACCCTCATGAAGATTTTCAACTGGATACTGCATTAAATTTTAATTAATAAAAATGTCCGTACAATGGAAAATGTTATGCAGCCTTAATAACAGAGTAATCTGCCAGCTACAGCTATAAAAGCTTTCATTTCAACCAAAATGAAGGAGAATAGAAAAGTTTCCCATTCTTATCCTATTAAAATGCACACAAGTTTCGCTTTTCACAGGAGTCACACATCATTCATTAAACTCTTCAGAGAAGAGACAGACTCTTACTCAATGTCTGCATCCTTGGAAAAATGAAACATGACCTCTGAAGTGACAACATTAACGCTGCTCCACTGTCAAATGAGTCATCTTTTCCAGGAAGTAAGCTCATCACGAGATAAAACATTCAGAGATGATCACCTTTTAAAAGCAGAGTACTTTGAATACTACCCTAAGAAGTACAATAATCAGCTATCTCGATTTCAGAGTTTTGCATGCAACAAAACATCATTCAAAAGGGTAAATGTCCATTACATAATTTGAGTTCAAAGTTCACTCTCCATAATGGAAAACTCTGCTACGTGTCTAAAGTAATTTTTTGAAAAACCTATTTCCACGCTTCTATTTGAAACTGTCAGTAGATGCAAAGTACGATTTTTGCATGTTTTGTGTGAACAAATGTCTGTTTCCTTTAAAGCACTTGCCATAATGTTTAATGTATATAAGTAACTCCATGTGTCAGCAAACCAGAAGAAACTGCGCTCAAGTAAGTGCCAAGACAAACTCCGCAACAGTTCCTTTTTTAAAATCTCAAAATACTTATTTTCCTACAGCAGCCACGTGTCTGCATGGAAATAATTAACAGGTAAAAAACACAAAGAAATCTGCAGGTGACAATTTATCAAAACCTTCTATTCCACTTTCACTCTTCACACGTAAGGCTTAGCCAGCCTCTTCTACAGTCATACAGCAGGGAACCTGGGCTTTGCATCTAACACTCCACTTCTGTTCTCAGACCTAAAGAAATCCAGTAGATCATGCAGCTGTTCTAATATTTATATCTTACGCTGCTAAATATTACCATCTTATGGATCTTCATGATTTTATTAAGGAGGAAATCCAAATTAGGTAATAGTCATACATATTACTTAAATATATCATTTTGTCTATAAAACTATCCAGCAAACCACTGTCCTGGTTTTGGCTGGGATAGGGTTAGTTTTCCTCCTAGTAGCTGGTATAGCGCTGTGTTTTGGATTCAGCGTGAGAATAATGTGATCACACACTGAACTTCTGGTTGTTGCTAGGCGGAGCTCACACTAAGACAAGGTCCTTTCAGCTTCCCGTGCTCTGCCAGCGAGGAGGTGCATAAGAAGCTGGGAGGAAGCGCAGCTGAGACAGCTGACCAACCTGGCCAAAGGGACATTCCATACCACGTGGCATCATGCTCAGTATACAAACTAGGGGGAACCGGCTGGGGAGGAGGGTGCGGAGGGCAAGGGGCTGTGTGGTGCTTGGTTGCCGACCGGGGTTAAATCACGACAACCACTAATATGACGCTACCCATTCTGAGACAGCTGAAAACTGCCAAAAATGCACACTTCAAAGCTCTGTGGTCCAGAGAAGCCACTGTAATACGGCGCTCCACCTTCCACTGGCTTCAGCAGAAAGTCATAAAATGTGCAGCTAGGTGACCTATTCTAGTGGCGTCGCTGTAGGTGGGTTCGATCTTGTTTTAACATGACTGAAGACTCCGTGACTTTGGCTCACTGTATCACTGATAAAATCCATCCACATTTACTACTGACAGCTGTGTACCTTGCGCTCCAACTCCTACTCAAAACCACTCTAGACTTTGAAAGGACAACTGCAGATCACCCACATTTGGCTCACAGAACACAGTTCACGTTGTACTGCTCTAGGGAGAGCGAAAAATAAGAGTGAAGAATCTAAACAGTTCTTTTTACCCTTGCACAAAAAATATAAGTTCCATCACTGCTAAAAGACACAGACTTTAACCTACCACTGTGGTCCAAGTAATTAAGTTGGTATCAATGTTTTCAGATGTGCTGCCTTAAAATAATTTTCTGGTTTGGTGGTTTTAGGTGGCTTTTGGTTGTTGGGTCTTTTCAATTTGTTATGTGGCTTTTTAAAAATGGTTTACTTAGTTTACGTGATAGCACTTCATCTACCTCCAGCTCTGGCAGATCCTAGTTACTCCCAGTTTTCTGTGTTTCTATGGGTTTTCCCCTCCTGCACAGCAGATCACATCAAATAAGCTGACTGGATAAAGGCAGAGGTTCAAAACACACCAAAGAACGTTTACATGAGACTGCCAACGCATCTGCAAGAGCCTAAGTATTACATTTACATAGAAGCTTACCCAACAAAGAGAACCAGTTCCTTGAAACCAAGTAACACAGACAAACATACACTTTCAAACAGACAATGATTAATAATAATTAACTGACTTTGCAACATGTGATATAAAAATTTTGGAATGCCATAGTTTCTTCATGTTTCTAGTTTTATCCTTGTGGAAAAAAAGCATGAAAATATACTGCTACAAGTTTCCCTTGACTTTCATTTTGGCATCTAATAGCTCAAGGTGGCTTACACAACAAGCATTCAAAAAATGCTTGAAAGAAAAGTACAGTCTGTCTCATATTTTGTTTTATACAATTGGCAAGCTTCATCATATTTTGATTCAAAAGCTAGTAAAATGTCCCAGACAATAAATCAAAATCACTGCTGTTCAAGCACTACCTGAATGTGTTCTACTTAATCTTTAAGTACGATTAAGCGTTAGGAAGACAGAAAACACATGGCAGACTATATTGGTCTTTTAAATACTGAATATTCAGGGCAAATGGAAAAGCTGAAAGGCCCAATCTAAACCCTACTAAGACTGCTGGAAAGGTTGCTAGTTCTACTCCTGTCTTCTACATTCAGTGTTCAAGCAGGTGTTATATCGTGCCTTCTCATCATGAAACAAATCGCATTTGTTCTAATGAGGGTAACATAGGTTATTATCATAGGAAATGAAAGGAAATACATACAGTAATACAGACGCAGTTTTTCCACAGTTAAACCCACAAAACTTTATCACAATTTCAAACAACAAACCACTGCAGTTCAGAAAAATCTTTTAAACTTACTGTGTTAGTTGAATCTTCTTGTAAAATTCTATCATATAACTGGATAGCATCATCATACCTGTTCAAAGAAATCATTCGTATTTATTTCTGGTAAGACAGAACTCCTGACCTACTGACTGTCCTTGCAATAGTTAACCCTCCTGCACTTTTTATACTGCATATATTTAAGCAAACTACCTTCATACAAAATTCTCTTGAATGAGTGCTAAATATGAACAGCAGTATTTTATGTCACCAAGTTAAAAAAATACATGGTAATTGCTTCATGGAATACTGTTTCGGCAGCAATGTATGTATTTTATACCCAATTTCTTACTCTATCTGTTCTTTCTTTCTCTGTACACAATAGGTGCAATAATCACATCCCAACTCCCTTTCACCTCTCCCAAGAAAGAGAAACCCCAAAATTTGAAAGGCCATCCAAAATAATGCCTTTTCACTTCATTACTGTAATTTAAAATTTAATGTAAGTTTCTTATTATGATTTTATGAAGGATAAGCAGCTGCATACAGCAAACTGGGGGATTCACACAACAGTCCACCCTTGACTATACCATACATCTTGGAAGAAAAGACTATACCATAAATCTTGAAGGAAAATGTTTTCCGCCATCACCACGTAGGTTTTACTAATTAATTCTGTTATTTGAAATATGCTTGAAACAGGTTACTCCAGCTGCTATAAATGCTTTCAACCTTCTGGGAAACAGATCTGTGTGTCCTGCCAGCTGTGCACATAACCCAAACTGGACAAATGAAACAACTGAAAACACATTTGACTACAGAGGTGTTATGCCATCACCACATACCTAAGGTATACTTCATGTCTTCATGTATAGTTTGACAAATATTTTTTCAGAGGTACTGCTGATTGATTTGGATGTTACACATCCCCTTCTCCCCTTGTACACTCGGTACATACTCTCACTCCCTAAGAACTGCTGGCGTTAGCACAGCTCAGCTGTCCAGTCCAGTACCAAAAGGTATGAGAACAAATGTGGAAGGAAGCAAAAAAGCAGAAGCAAGTAGATGACTGCTACAGACTAGAGCAGACGTGCAGTAAAATGTTGTATGCACACTCCCTGTTAGTTGCTACATCATCCAATGTGTTTCATAAGACTGAACATGATGGCCATAATCCCAGCTTTACAGGGTGAAGTTCCAGAACACTGGTCTTTTGATCAGCAAGTCTCTACAGGGATGTCTCAGTCTACAGGGATGTTCTTTGCTGTTTCCTCTTCATGCTGGGGAAGGCAGGATCTTATGAACTCCCAGAAGTCACTTCAAATTTAACAAGAAGCTTGATTCTTCAACTGAAAATGTGATCCCTCCAGCCTAAGTCTCCATAGGCTTCATTTATACTAAGTGGAGACAGACAGATTTCTCCAGGACATGGCCTAAAGCACCCGCAATGAGTTCCCGTTCAAGACAACCCAAAGCTGAAGCCTCTTTCTTCTCCCACTTCTGGAGAAAAATCTATGCAGACAAAACTTCAGCTTTTGTTAATGCCTCTGCTTCCCTGATATTCCAATCTCAAGGATCTAACCTGACAGAGATATTTGTCAAGAGCACTTTTGGAAAGCTGTGGCTCAACCTCAGTTCATTGCTGAAACAACACATAATGTTTGCGCAGCAGTCATCCCCCACAAAGATCAGTTCCCATGCAGTAACATCTTCACTGCAGATGTTCACATAAGGCCATACAGAATTATGATCTTCCGCACTTCTGAACAGATTTCGTGAAGGAGGTAAAATTTACTGACATTCTCTCACTGTCTTCCTACAATATACCAAATGAAGCCAGAAAGAGAGCTAGGTTTAATGGAAATTCTTCATAAATTTGTGTATTTGATAGAAAGCAAGTGTGAAATGTGAAACACCTAGCTGCCATGAGACTGCTCCTGTGGTTCTGGAGTCCAGTTATCCACTCTTTTCGACCCACACAATGGACATTTGTTGATGGCTTATATCAAATAACATTTTTAAAGTTAATTTTGCAAGGATGCAATAGGCAAAGAACATCTGCTAAACAAATAATTTTTTTTAAAAAAGCATTTAGGGGTTTACTTCTAAGTTCCAACTCCTTTATATCAAGATGGCCCAAAAAACTCCAAATCTCGCCAATTCCCTATGCAAAATGTGGCATGGAATGGGTTTGCTAGCATTCACAGGCACTGTGTTCACAGGTGAACAATAAAGGTCAACTTCAAGCCCTGAGGTCATTCCTCTTGGAAAATTCAAGTTTTAAGCTGTTCATTATTTGAATAAATCCTGTTAAACTTATTATGTTACAATCCTTCCACAGGGCATTTCAAAAAGGTCAGTCTGGCTTCGGGGTTCTGCCATTCTATTCCACGTGTTTCTTTCAGTTGTTTCTGTATCTAACTCTACAGATTTAATCCATTTTAAGTTCTACTTGATTTATCCACACTCAGAAAACAAAGAAAAGAGCTACATCTGCAGTGATTAGGAGTATAGGAGAACAATGAAGGCGAAAAAATGCTGGCACTGATCTTCATATGCCACTCTAGCTCTGTGAGATTAAATGTATACTTCTCAGACTTCGTTACAAAGGCGCCTACTGTTTAACTGTATAATCAATTCTGTTGTCGAGTAAGAGATCTTTTTAATCTATGAAAGCTGATGGGAAGATTGCAGAAATGAAACAACACAGTACATGCAAAAATGCAATAAAAATGTCTAAATGTTATCATATGATCATGCAAATCTTTAATTTCCATAAGGAAACTGCCCAACATTGCTTTGCTGTGTTTTTATAGACCCTGAATTCCTTTTCTAAGAAAGAGCAAGAACCTTTCCAGGCAGAAAGTACTTTTTAAGTTCAGCTTTTACCTTTCCATGGCTTCAAATCTCATTCCAGTTAATCGCTTAACTCTGTGGCTCCCAGGAAACTGCCGCCTTAGTTCCTGAAGACAAAACTGTACAAATAAACCCAAAAATATTGTGACTATAATTATCTACATGGAAGCTGGGTAGAGGAAAAAACAAAACAAAACAAACAAAACCACCCACAAAACAACCAAACAAGTCTTTGGCTGATGAATTCAACAATCTGAAGCTGCGTTTCTAAGTATTTGCTTTTACCAATTTTTGAAATAAGCAATAAGATGTATTGATACCTCAGAAACTGAAACTTTGTTAGAAGACTAATTCTAAAAAATACCTTCCATACAGGTCATTAGATCATCAGGCCTTCTTGGAAATAATTATTTGTCTAGAAAATTAAACTCACTTACTAAAACAATTCTGATACTATTAAAACTTGTAGTCTGCTTAGTTGCCTTGTAATAACACAAGACAGTAAAAAACCAAAATAAAGACGGTAAGAGCTTATGTGATGGTTCTTTAATAAATGGATATCTTACAATGGAACAAGCTATGCTAATACTGTGCTCTGTGTTTATTTTTAAAATAAAAATTGAAATCCAAAGAAAATGTTTGTCACTGGCTTGGGTTGAGCCTGCTGGCAAAAGAGGCATAGCTTCTAATTCCTGAAATCAATGAGACACCTGGGCTGGATAAATGAAATTCATCCCAGGCAGGTTTCTCTGGATTAGCAAAAAAGCATGTTTGGTAAGGGACTGAGTCACAACTTCCCCAGAGCAAACTAACCAAGTCATGAATGTGGCTAGATGGCATTGCAAAGCTTGTAGCTCATTCAATCTGGTGGGAGGCAGGACAGGCCCCAGGCTCTCAAAAAGACCAGTGGTTTGAATCACATTAAAAGCTTCACACAGAACCTTCCTTCTCCAGGCATTTATTTATACAACTCATCTTATAAACTTGTTCTGCAGATCTAAGGTTCTAGCAGAGGCCTATCTACATAATCTGTTCCATCTCACCACATCCACTGGTCAAAGGAAAAATACAGAAGCAAATCAGTAAAAATGAGTAGGTTCCCTCCCCGTTTCTGTAGATGAGCAGGCTGCTACAGCACAGCAAAGAGAAATATTCACACTCTCCATATTAAAAAATATAGAGAAGGGATAGAGAAAGGACAAAGTAATCAAAGAAGTAATGCTTAGCCCCAAGTAAGCACAGAATATTTTCATCACGATCTTCTTAGGTTACCACGAACCAAGATCTCAACAATGCCACTTCGCACAGCAACACTCAGGTTTAGTACAGCAACAGTTTACTGGCACTGTGGGTGATGTCTAGGTGAACTGCTGCTACACTGGACAACAAACTGTTATAAATAACTAAATGTACTTAGCAGCACGTTACATGGCATCTGAACTAATCCCTGAGTGTTCTTAAGAGACATGATAACCCACATAAAACAACCTTCTAAATTTTAAAAAGAACTTTTACAGACAATAAATCAACCTGTGACCCAGTGATCTGAGAATCCCAAAGGACAGCAATTTTCAGTATAAAAATATGCACTGCTTTTCTCCAATAACATTTTTAAATGGCAAAAATTGTAACATTTGCAGTAATACTGAACTCCACAACCTGCAGATGGACTTCTACATCTAGAAAAACTCCAGTGACAATATAAAAGAAGCCGAAGTAGCACTCAAGTGCAGGAATACTACAAGACCAGAACTGTTCACATTAGATCTGACTACATGATCATTATTTCAATGGAATACTGCAGCCACAGGGCCAAAATAACCTCCTGTAGATGAAGACAGCAGACACAAAGTGACGTGAAAAGTTCTGAGACAGTTACAAACAACTTACTGCAGAACTCTGAATACCAAAAGTGCATGAATAGGCACCACTAGCTCTGGGCTCAGCAGCACTGAATGTCCTCTTTTTAAATTTAACCTGTAATTCCCAGAATCATTTATGTTACTGAGAACTGGTTCTGCACAGTGTCAGTAATCTACTTTCAAGATTCTCTCAGAAACTCAGCAGGTAGATGGCAAATCTCATTGTACGTGAAACTTTAATTTGCAGTTAATTTACTTTGGGATTTTTTTAATCACATCAGGTTCTAATTTTAAAGGTCTGACAAAGGCAAAGAAATACAAACCTGGATTTCAGCATGTAAAACACTGGTAGTGCAAGTGCCTGGCAACAGTAGGTGATTGCACTAAAACATGCACGTGAAAGAACTAGCTGACTGCAGTAGGGGCATGAACTACACACAGTCATCTTATGCAGGACAGAGAGGGCAACAGTTATAAAAAGAGGAAAAATAAATAAAAACAAATGTCAGATAAATGACTGAAAGCCAACTCAGCCTCCTCATTTGGAGCAGATGAGACCTATCGCTCTAAGCAAAATGCATCACAGCCATCAAAAGCTCACTGCTCAAATCCAGAAGTTCCAAAGCTGTTTGTCTACTCTGGGCTACAGCTGTAGCAAAAAGCCACATATGTTGTTGACTTGTTTGAATTAACTACTTCTTTATTATAAATCAATCAAATTAAAAAAACAAAACCAAAACACAACTAAGTTTCCATTTAGCATATCCTTTCTGAGCTGCATATAAAATGCTGCGCTTCCTCATCTCAAGCAATATTCCTTATAGGGCCCAGAAACTGAAATTTAAATCCCTGCCAGGGTCAGTAAAAATAAATAGTGTTTCACAACTGATCTTTCAACACTGGGACAATTTTGTGAAAGTCCTCCTAAAAAGACCCTGAAAATAAAGACCCAAACTGTTTTAGATGTATTTCGGAACACAGAACTATATTTATTTAAACAGTAAGTCTATTTGTTTTGGTTTAAACAGACAGCTATACCACAACAGTATTTTCTGTTTGAGGAACAAAAGAAAGGGAAGTTGGGTGGGTTCATGGCAAGTTCACCGCGTTGTCCTGTATTTTCCAGTGTGCTCCGTTCTACCATATACATATGGGATGTGAGATAAACTTGTCTAGTTCTGCCTATTTTCAAACTGACCCGTTCCCAACTACATCCTCTAGTCTGACCCCTTGTATATCACAGGCCGTTAAGTTTCACCCAAATGACATCACATGCAACTCAAAGACTTTATGGGGTATTTTGCCATCTGACAGAGAACATGGCACTGGAAGAGTAATCCCCATGAAAGACCCGGACTCATCAAAATTTCTTTATTTTACTTAGAATAAGCTCAAGCTTGCTGGCTTTCAGGGCACAAGACAGAGTCATAGGGTTTTTTTCCAGTGTTTTTTGAAGGAGGGATTAAAATATTATTAAAATTTGCCTTCAAAACACACTTTTGTCTTTTTCAGTTACTGGCTTTAAAGGACTAGCTAAGCTTGGTTGGGGTTTTTGTTTGTTTCAGTATTTTTTCCTTTTTCATCTAGGGAACAGGTATTCTAAATAAACTAATTTTATCTAAATTGTTATTTGTATAGTCCAAATAAATTTGCATTCAAATTGACTAAAGCCAGAAATCCATTAATGTTATTTTTATCAAGAATCACTGAGCAATTTGGATTGCAAAGAGGCCTTCGGAGGTCACTTGCTCCAAATCGCCACTCAAAACAGTCAGCTGCCAAATGAGGGCCTTATCCCAATCCATTTCTGAGTATCCCCAGAGGAGATTCCACAGCTTCTCTGTGCCACCTGTCCCTCAGTGTTCACTAACCCCATTGTTAAAAACTTCTTTTTCATATCTAACTGGAATTTCCTTTGCCGCAGCTTACGTCTCTCGCACTAGGCTTTTGCTGCACACCTACATGTCCCCACCTTCTTTATACCTTCACATAAGTAGATATTCAAAGACAGTAAGAAAATCCCTTCTCAGCTTTCTCAAGGCTTAACAAATCCAGATCTCTCAGCCCTTCCTTACACATTAATCAGCTCGGCTCCTTATTCATCCTGAAGTCTTGCTCCAGTATGTCAATGACTTTCTCTGATGACAGTCAGCATGACATATAATATGGTACGCATGACTGGACATTTCACCTCAAAACAGTCAAAAAACCAGTATCATTTGAGAGGTTTTCAATAAACAAACACCCTCTGTAAAATATGGCAACTTCAATATTATTCTTGACATTTAGCCCACACCAGAGTAGCTGTAAATATTTTCATGGTTATTGGAAGAGACATGATCTGTCTAAACAAAAGTTACACATTAGAGAAGGTGGGTGGAGGCGGTTTCTTCCCAGCAGTGTATTTCTCCATAGATATCCTACAAGTCCGAGCTCTGGAGTTCAGAATGGCCTATAACTGTCCAAAGATCTATCTGGAAGACATACCCAGGAAGAAAACTTCAGGTTTTAGGGAAAAGTTAACTTGAAAACTTACCAATGCCAAATCATCTCGACTGCAGTCCAGGGCAGCAATCATCACCTGTTCATATATTATCCAAACTGGACACAAAAAGAGACATTAAATGCAGATAACTGATTTTTTAAGATAATGGGAAACACCTACAATGGAAATAAAGGTTAATGAATTCTGTCTGTATATTTTTTACCTCTATTCCCATGGATCACTACTGAAAGAGGGACATTTTAACAAACTGCTGGAGTTAATTAAAAAAGCATTTAAGCAATTTTATTGCTTTTAGCAACAAAGTGCCTTTTGACATCTCAAAAGACAAAAAAGCTCTAATTCTCCGCTTTTGCTAACATTATAGCTGCAGTCTTCTAAGTAGATCCCCATTACGACTTGCTCTCTGATTAGACCTGGAGAACAGACACTTCGGCTAGAAAGAAAACAAATTTGCCTTAACTGTTTCACTGCTAAAGTCTGAAATGTTTTCTTCTTCCTACAGTTAACATTTTTCTAAATCGATGACAGGCTGCATTATTTCTGTTCCAGGCTACCGAGTTCTTGAACATAAAGAATTTAACAGTGTAGCTACACAAGCTGCAGAAAAGAGAGGTTATGTTAGAGGGAAGCTCTAAAATATATGTAAGTAATATAATATAAGCAATAGTATATATAGTATATGTAAAATACATGTAATATGAAAAACGTACGTTCCATTTTTATTATATAATGTATACATTTTTGCCCAAGAATATAAAAATACATACACAGATACAGACAAAACACAGATAACATATGTCCATGATATAAATTATATATTAAAAAAGAATTCTAAACAAAAAGAGTAAAGATAATTCTATAGTTTATGACGTGGCTCTCCCCATTCAACCAAACTTTGCTACTTTGATACTCTAACCCTAGTCAGATATTAGGCAAAAGAAGAGTTGTAAGAGAATCAAGTAACCAGTCCAGAGGGATATGTTTTTCTAATGTGTACTAGGGCTTTCTTTTTCAAGCCAAAAAAAACCCCAACAAACCAAAACCAAACAACAAACAAACCAACAACAAAAAAAGTCAAAGGTCTTATCCCTCTACTTTGAAGTCTGTCTATAGTCAGACTACTGATTGCCCATAAGAAAATCCCAACTTTTCATTAAAATTATGATGTGATAATACTATCCCTACCCCTTGACTAAATATTCAGTAAATTATTTTTATTTTAAAAACTCTAGTAATGATTTAGGTTTCCCTCAGTTACAATGGACGTCTTCTGCCTGAGGAGGCAAGTTACAGAGACACCCACATAATCTACCCCACTGCATTCTTTATTTCCCCTTCTATATGCATTCTGAAATTAGCCCCTGTAATAGCCAGAGATTTTCTGAAAACACATGAAGCAAGAAGACTAACATCCAACATATACAACTCATTCACCTTCTCTGCTACCCAAGAAAGAATTAGAGGACCACTATAGGTGTTCAGGGATTTTTGTTGGTTTTAAAACTGTATACAGTTGCCATCCTGATACTACTTAAAAAAAAAAAAAAGAGATTGCAAGCGTGTAAATAAATTTCGGATACTTTTATGCATTGGCTGAGAACCTCAGAAACACTACAGCTAATTTATCTAATGAATCCTGAATGTCAGTTTGATGAAAGAATAAAATGCCTATACCTTGAAAAGAAGGACCAACTCAGCACTGACAAGAAAGGAATGTCTCAGCTCGTATTACTGAGAATGGAGTTTCAGAATGGATCTGAGCAGAAAATCAAGCTCCTCCACAATTTCTTACTAAAAGACAATTCTCATAAATTACTTGCAACATGGTAAGAAGAAAGTCAAATCAAAGTTAGTTCTCAAAGTTCTTCTAAAGCAGAGGGAACCTACCACAACTCTCTCTGCAGAGCAACGCGTCGATAGAATCAAATCCCATCTGCAGCACCTCAAACCCAATCCTGAGATTCCTCACCCGACAAGAAAGGGAGGCAAAGTGCCTTTCTGAAATGACTATGTGGATTTTAATTCCTGGAACACTGTATGAAGTTAGACATTTGAAATTAAGGTTAACTTACTAAAGCTGAACAAAGTTAATCATATGGAATATTTTAACTTTTATCAGTAAATGCAACGCACTACTGTGGGTGCTACAATCCACTTGGGACTATACAACAGCAGTTAATAAAATGAAAGAACTACCAGAGAAATGTATTAAACAATGTCTATATTAAATTATCTGAATTAAAAAAAAAAAAACAACCCAAACAAAACACCAACTGCAAGAAGAAAAAAAAGCATTTTTTGATACTCCAGAGCTTTTGAAGAACATTAAAATGAAAAACTGTAAGATTAATATGCAAACCTATATAATCTTGACAGCACTTTGTTACACCTCATTTTATTTTATGCTTATAGTACAGAATGCTATTGTATTGTGCTTCTCAACAATTCTCTTTCAGTAAGAAACGTTATATCCAAGCTTCTGTCTACCAAAATGAGTGCAAAGAAGTTAAAATCCCCTGAAAATGATTTCATGAATACTGGAAACTTAGACTTACCTTAAACAACAATATCACAAATGTAATGTTATAATAAAAACAGCACTAACATTAATTCCTGCAGTATGTATGGCTTGTATGTATTAAGGAATAGCTTTCTCTGCTATAAAAAAATACTTTTCAATTTTTGCTGCAGTGTTGAAGAAAAGCAAATCTGTCAAATGACAGCTAGATAACAGTTTCACACTAAGGTTTCATTCCATGGTCTAACTACTAACATAGTAAACCAGCAGTTCTAGTAGGTAATTTTTTCATCTGTTTTCACTGGAGCCCATATTTGGGAAAGAAAGAAAATCTAGCAATTCTGGTAGCCTCGTAGACTAAGAAAGCAATATATATATCATCAACATCAGCAAATACAGAAAGGCAACACAGATGCACAAAATAGAGTCTGAAAAGAAAAAGCAAAATCAGACAATGGAAGTTTTAAAAATAATGATTGCTTACTTACTGTCATCTCCAAGTTTAGATGCATATTCATTAATTAATTCTTCTCCAACATCCACTATCTGTTCACTATTTCGGTAGTTTTCTTCTCTCCATTTCCTCATTTTATCACGCATATCTGGGGGCAAAGGAGAGAATAAAAAATACTGAGATTTCCAGATAGTAATCGAATTTAAATTTTATTTATGGAAAACATGCATATGAAGAATGGGTTTAGAGAGCAATAGATCTAAAATAGTGCCTTCTACTTATATTAGAAAACTACTAGACAACAGATAGGTGTACCAGACCACTGAAACTGTACCACACAAACCGTGCTCACGCTCTTAACATAAGTCATTCAACTGCCAAGTTTGCACTCGCTCAGGTTAGTAACATAGGCAGTGAAAAAAAAAAGAACTTATACCTAGTTATCCAATAAATAATAAAATCTAATGGACGTTACCCATGGTTAGGGAAAATAGGCTGCGAGAGATTTCTAGCAAGTATTTTCACACTTATATTCACAAAAAACACTACCATTTCTGATCAAAGTAAATAAATATTCACTTGAAGTATTAGAAAAATTACAAGAACCCAAGCACTACTCACATTTATCATTGTTAGCAAAATGCCGTGAATTTCCACTCTAAAAAGAATCCAGACACTCCTACAGAAAGGAGCCACAAGAAAGGCAGACATGGAAGCGAAGGCTTTCTACACCTCAGAAGTGCCCAAAGGTATAAAAACTATCACTATCTGGGTAAGATAGAAAAGATGGTTTATTTCGGCATTAGGAGTTTTGTTTCAAGAGTATATTTACTATGGATCAGATCCCCGAGAGAGCAGGCATACTCAGGAAGTCAGCTAGAGAACACCACCTAACCTAAGTTTTATTTATCATCTGGATCAGGAAATTCCTAAGAATGTGATTATATATATCTATATCTACATTTATATACATCTAGAAGCTCCAAATAAAAGAACAAATTTTGAAGAAACTTAAGGAAGACCATTTTCATTACCAGAGGGTGACTTTACTAACGTGAAGGTACCACAACTGTTGCCAGTATTTTTTTTTAAACTCTACAACAGCTGGAAAAACAAACACAAGGATAGATCTAAACACTGTCAGTTTTTCTCGCACTTCAAAGGGCACAGTTAACGTAACTGACAGTCAAAATTAAGCACTAAACTTTTTCCATCTACCTGAAGTGATCTCGGATCGCTTATAAGACTGTTATTGTGCTACATTCTCTATTTTGAAATTCAACCAAAACCACCAGAGGATTACATTTCATAGGCATGGGTAAAGTTAAATGGTTCTAGACACATGATGGTCCCTGGAAATTCAAAGTTAGACAGCAAGAATGTGGGAGAACACAAACATTCACAAAAGCTGACAAGCTAAACCCATAAAAATAAATAAGCTGTCCGATTTCTACCTACTCATTTACTTGGAAATTATCAATGCCTCCATTCCAGTGTGATTCCAAATGGAATTGTGCCTGAATTATGTATAACAGAACGCACATCTACCATTCCTCACCCAAGTACAGCATTTACAGTGGTGGAAAAAAACTGCAGGACAGAGAATAGTGTATCAGCTGATGACCAAACAAACCCAAAGTAAAAGTAAATATTCTCATTCATGTGACTCTCTCAAGAGGCTTGTTAGACTTAGAAATACTGAATTTTAAGTAAAAGGTATAAGAAACAAAGTACCAAAAACTGCAGTGAAACTTACACAAGGCTTTTTACAATGCTGCCAAATGTAATGAATTTTCTACTAAGAAAGCCATGAAAAAGAGTCAGCCAATAAGTGTCTTGGGGGAAAATCTACATACAACATGTCATACAAGGTTGGGCAGTAGCAGTTGGGGATTTTAGAGAAAAAAAAAGTCAAAGAAATGTCTAGTTTAATTACAATTACTCCTGTCAGGTTTACAGGCTAACCACGAGCAAATAATACATTTGGTTTAGTCTTAGGGTCTCTTAAATTAAAAAGCTTTGCACATATCAAAGAAGCAGATGCACCTGTCACAATGTTTGCTAAGTTCCCTAAAAAAACCTGCAAGCAGTCTACAGGAAGCCAAAAGAAATAACCTGTTGTTTAATTTCATGTCTGTTAAGGTATCAGTTAATTTGGCCCAAGCAACCAGACAGGAAGTAATCCTCCTATAACCACTTACATTTCATCTGGTTAGGTGGATCACAGTTTTCAAGCCCACGCTATCTAAAGCCCCTGATGTTACCGCTATTAGTAGAGACATACACTGCATGCTCCAAAATGTAAACTTGAAAGGCTGAGAGAGTTGGGCTTGTTCAGCCCGGAGAAGGCAAGGCTCCGGGGAGACCTTATAGCACCTTCCAGTACCTGAAGGGGCCTACAAGGAAGCTGGGGGGGGGACTTCTTCACAGAGAGGGTGGTGAGGCCCTGGAACAGGTTGCCCAGAGAAGCTGTGGATGCCCCATCCCTGGATGTCTTCAAGGCCAGGCTGGATGAGGCTTTGAGCAACCTGCTCTAGTGGAGGGTGTCCCTGCCCATGGCAGGGGGGTTGGAACCAGATGATCTTTAAGGTCCCTTTCATCCCAAACCATTCTGTGATTCTATGACATGTAACAACTACCACACACAGTGACTCATAATCACATCTTCTCGAGAGCTCATCTGTATGTTGTCCTTCTGTTGCAGACACCAAATCTTCCACCACATCCCAGGTACACCCACTCTGCTCTTCAAAATATGAATCAAACCACAACAACCACAAATCCCATAATTCCACAAGTTCAGCTAAACACACAGGGTGTGCGATGGCCTGGCGACTGCTCTCTGCGGGTGTCCAGCCACTGGCTTTACCAGGACACCTGACCAGTACGTTGCAGGTGCAGGCAGAAGCAGCTCAGCTGGGCACTGCAGATGCTGTCGTGACCATAACAATGCAGCTTTCATGGTGGCCTCAACTAAAATCTCAGTATCTCACCTTTGCCTGCTGTAATCCTATCAGTTCATATATAAAATGCAGAGTAAACTAATCTGTCGCTTCAATTACAACTGAAAATTAGGACTACATAAAAGAAAGCGAAGTACAGAACACAACAAAGACCTCTCATCAACACTTAATACTACATAGAATATGACAGAGATTAAATTTTAGACTGTCTTCTATTTCCTAGAGTCTCTCCATACAAAATAAACGTGAATTCAGTTTCAAGTCATAGGAAGGAACCAATTCTGTTACCCAAAGTGGACCCTATCAACTAGGGACACTAAAGATAGAAGTCTTGAGATGTGAAGTTCAGTTGGGATTTTCTTTGTTATGTATGATGCTCCCAGATACACACATTTGCAGGAAAATGGCCTCGCATGTAAGTCTGATCTTATAAATGGTTTTTATGATATTTTCAAATAATTACAAATACTTACTTGAAAAAGCCCTCACATGAACACGTAACAAAAACTCTCAATATGTCACTACTTAAGCAGTGTAATTTCTAACACAGTAATACTAATTTAATGATCCAGAAAACCTAAGCAACTTCAGCAACAGCTGTCATGAGCTATTCAAAATCTTGCTAAAGATTCTTTCCACTTGTTTTCAATTTACATTACAAGAAATCTAGTTTAGATAATATGCCATATTGTTTGCTTGTTCTGGTATCCAGTGAATGAGAATTATTGACTGGAGCAAGAGATGCCAGGACAGCATTCAAAGATCTCCACAAAGCCCATCTATCACTAGCTTAAAGTCAACTGCTTCATTTTAGCTGGGTTTGAGATGTTAACGCAATTATACCTCTGCAAGTAAGAGAAAGAAAAGAAAACCTGGTTTATTTTGTCTAATTCTGACAATATGACAACTTTCCTGTGCAAGCCAACCATGACTTTATTAATTTCTGACTATCAAGACTGCTTCTTGTTTGCAGATCCCACTAATCCTGCACACACACACTAACTTGTGTGCTGCAAAACCTACTCCCAAAATGACATTATAAAAGTGGTGTTGTTTGTTCTAATATTTCCACTCACAGGTCAAATCCTCTTTAATGCATCACTGAAACCATGTTAAATACTAATGCCTGGTCTCCATAAAGTTCTACATGTCTTAAGAGGCTCCTATGAGACGCTGCGATGTGATGTACCACTCATGACTGGCATGCTAAGCCACATCATGCTTTGTCGCCAGACCTGCTGCTCTTGGTTCCCTGTCACTCCATGTAGTCTCTAATTCTTCTAAACATGAAGAAAGCTGGAAATTATCCCACGGAAAGGGGTGTATTAGCAACAATGACCAAAAAAACCAAAAGCTACCTATCACCTTAGTCTGAATAAGCAGTAAAATATATGTTGCATTCCCACATGCCTTTCAATACCACAGCATGTGAAACCACGTTTCTATCATCTAAGCCCACTGATCAAGACCATGAAATTAAATGAGGTTTTCCTGCTTCAGATTTCAAAATACACTTTAAAGCTCAAAACAAAGCAGCAAAGTAAAGAGAGAAAAACAAAGACAACAGCTCCAACAGTAGAAATCGCACTTATTTTCAGTGATCTTTCCGAACCCCCTGTGCAATGTATTTACCTAAGTAACCATTTAATCACTGTTAAACTCCCACTTTTGTCACAAAGGACATGAGTGAAAAACAAAGCAAGGCATAAGCTGTATTTTAATTGCTATACATTATTCTTCTTCCCCAAACTCCAATTACAGTTTCATCTTTGCGCAATGTAAGTAATAACCATCATGTTTAGAAATGACTTGGCATATAAAAGACATTTTTCAGACAAATATCAACCATACACCTCCTTTCACAGAATTTGAGCGATTTAGACATTCAGAATGAGCTACATTCAATTCCTAAAGCTGTGTTTAAGCTCTTCCTCAGGGACTAGGTCCTTAACACTGCTAGGATCTTCCCACTCACAAAAAGCCTCGTTGCACTAGGGACCTGTAAAAGTACAGGCTGAGTAGAGAAGAGCCGCCTTCTCTGAGAAGTCTTTGCACGGCCCGTTGCAGGAATCCATTCATTTTTATTTTACTTTGCATCTCTTAAAATAGAGGGGAAAAAAAATTCAAATGTGTGCTTCTGAAGCGCAGACAGCTGCTTGTAACAACACAGTTCTTCAAGGTTT